TTTTGGGGAGACACAATTCAATCCATAACATATATATTTTTGGGTCTGGTAACAAGTGTATTCATTGTTGCCACTTAAAGGGTTGTACTATAAGAAATATGTAACAAGGACAGGAAATTTAAAAAAAGTTTATTAAAAGGGAATTTGTTTGATATGGTCAAAATTCTTATTTGCTGCAGCTGAAAAGTTTGATGGGTTAATTTATGAGAATTTTTAAGAACTTTAATGTCAAATAGCAAAGAATTGGGTTTCTTGCTGTTAAGATAACAAAATTTTCTTTCATTACTGGGTTGAAGAGTTAATTTTATTCTTTAAGCAATCGGCCTTGAAGGCAAGTGATCAGCAGAATAAGTTCATGAGCCAAAAACCAAGTTGCATGTCTTTGAAAAAAGCTAAGGCTTTTTACGTTTAAGATCTTTGTTACATAACTCAAGTATTGTTTCTCAATGACCTATGATAAACATCTGACAACTCTGAAGCTTTATGGAAAACCACAACATATTTGTTTCTGTTTTATAAAGAGACAAGTGCTAAAAAAGAGTTTAATATATTATGAATTCCATGAAACATGTTGTCAAATCAGAAGTACCAAATTTTCTTTGAGTTAAAATTCATGTGTCAGTAATGTCTGCCTGATAATGAACAAGCACATAATATTATGTCATAATTTTGTTATTTCAGTTGCTAATTTGATCACAACTTCGTTTCCTTTAAATCTGGCATCATCAAGGCCGATGGTTTTAACTAGGAAATTCACATCATTCACTCATGGTGTTTTTACTACTAGTTAGATGCTTAGAGACTTGATAATCTTGGTATAATCTCAGCATATCCTAACTATTTGAGGTTAGTCTCAAGATTATTATGTGTTATATATAAAGCTCTTTGAAAATAAGGTTAATCATTATGTTTAGAGATATTTTGTCTAAGGTTTCTTTTTAATTGACTTTGACTTTGCATTTCTTTCAGTTAATTCCCATCAGGTCTTTCACTTTTAAGAACTATTAAGTTAACCATCCAAAAACCAAATCCACTGCCATCGAGTCGATTCCAACTCATAGCAACCCTGTAGGGTTTCCAAAGCTGTAAATCTCTACAGAAGCAGATTGCCATATCTTTCTCCCAAGAAGTTTACCACAGACATTTTTAAGTTGTCATCTGCAGATAAGTTTTACTTTGCTGATTCACTGAAAATGCTTGACAAAATATTTCAACAAAAATGGACTACATCAGATTTATAAAGAGGAATATAATTATTTCAAATGTGGACACCATTGGACTATGAAGGTTTAAATTTATCTGGGACTAAGGTCCCTCCCCAAGTTTTCTTAAACTTGAGGTAAAGTATTGCCAATCCTTAACTGAATACTCTAAAAGGTCCAAAAAGCCTTTTGTGAACAGGAATCAGATCCCTGACACCTGCCTGACATATCTCCAGGAGAACATGTGTATTCGAAAAGATATCAATTAAAGAACTCATTGGAGCCCTACTCGAACAGACCATACCTAGTGCTTCTCTCTAACCCACGTGTCTAGTAGAGGCTTGATCAAAAGGGGAGAATGTGCTAGCAGACCTTCAAAACAGAGGCATTCAGAATGGGCTCTCAACAAGACGATAACTGGAGCCACTCTCGGGCAAACAAGGGAGAGGGCAGAGGAGAAGTAATTGTTCTCGCAGAATATGTGCCAAGGACATTCTGG